ACACAGCCAAGTTCCTCACCTGGAGAACACCCCGACATTGAGCCTGAGAGCCAAAAAGAAACCGAGACCGAGGTAGACCAGCTTGGGAGCTGTGGGCCTCAGAGTGATGGTCTTGTCGTAGGCGTGCCGCAGCAGCAGCGACAGCAGCACCACCACGGGAGGCATCGCGGCCGCCAACGTCAGCAAAACTACGCTCTCGTCACCGCCGGCTTTTCTGTGGACAGGAGTCATTCAGGAGTCATACAGGAGTGAGACAGGAGTCATACAGGAGTCGTACAGGAGTGAGACAGGAGTCGTACAGGAGTCATACAGGAGACATACAGGAGTCATACAGGAGTCATACAGGAGTCATACATGAGTCATACAGGAGTCATACAGGAGTCATACAGGAGTCGTACAGGAGACATACAGGAGTCATACAGGAGACATACAGGAGTCGTACAGGAGTCATACAGGAGTCATACAGGAGTCATACAGGAGTCATACAGGAATCATACAGGAGTCATACAGGAGTCATACAGGAGTCATACAGGAGTCATTCAGGAGTCATACAGGAGTGAGACAGGAATCATACAGGAGTCATACAGGAGTCATACAGGAGTGAGACAGGAGTCATACAGGAGTCATACAGGAGTCGAACAAAGAAAATTATGTGATAGGACAGAAGTCATACAGGAGTCACACAGGAGTCATACAAATAAAATTATGTGATAGAACAGGAGTCTTATAGATACAATTATGTGATAGGACATGAGTCATACAGGAGTCATAGAGTCATACAGGAGTCATACAAATAAAATTATGTTTAAATTTTTTTTTGAAATGGTATGGGTTTAACGCCCGTATCAACACTATTCGTTTATTTAAGGGGCGGGGCCTCCGAGTTTAACGTCCGTCTCCGAAAGGACCGAGCCAAGAGGGAAATTCGTGTAAAGTGTCTTTCCCAAGGACACAACGTCGGACCGAGCTAAGGCTCGAACCCCCGAAACCGTAATCTCACGATTACGAGTCCGGCAGCCTAACCACTAGGCTACCGACGCCACCTAAAATTATGTGGCAGGACAGGAGTCATACAAATATAATTATGTTTGAAGACAGGAGTCATACAAATATAATGTCGATGGAACAGGAGTCATACAAATTAAATGTTGATAGATCGGGGGTCATATAGTAATAGATCTAAGTAAAATGTCGATAGGACAAGTTCCGTGAAATAACATGTGTGAAAAAAAGGAGTTTAAAAATATAGCGTGAGAAGGCAGGAGTTATAAGAATGAAATGTCGATAGGACAGGGGTCATACAAATGAAATATGACAGGATAGGAGATATGAAATAAAACATTGTCTCGACACGGTGGCATTTATCAGGTATAGAAAAAAATGTAAAGTTGATCCCGCATCCGATCCGGACATTGAGGATTGCCTTGTTAGTGAGACAACTTCCTGGGCCTTCGGCATATTGTGGTAGGGTGGCCAGTTCCTTTCCACGCCACCTTTACTTCCGCAACTCGAATTCAGGTACCCATTACTGCTGGGTGGGCAGGAGGGGGCGAAAAAATCCTTGTCCGAACCGAGGCTCGAACCCGGACTTTCCGCTACGGAGACGAGCGCACTAACCGCTCCGCCACTGCACCCTCTGGTATATATGTATTTTTGGGTAAGTGGAGCTCTTGGTCACATCTTAAAGTTTGTTTATTTGTTTTGCTTTTGAAAATAAAATACCCGTCTGTCTTAAATATTATGTGTAGTTTATCTGGTATCATACAAACACACGGGTGTTCATTAGTTGCTTTTGAAGACCCCCCCCCCCCCCCAACAAAAAAAAATGCCCATCTATCTTGAGTGTTTGTCGAGATATTTGCGATAAAAAATGAGATGAGGGACACCTGGTGTCAGAGGTGTAATTAGTGGGGAAATGTTTGTTTAAGTTCAGTGACATCCAAAGCTCGAGTGTCCTTGGAAACTGAAAATGTACATCTGTTTGTGCCTTTGATCAACGTTTTTCGGTAACTTCCACACAGAAATGTGTTTATAAATGAACGATAAAGGTGTTGAGAAAAAACAACAACCCAGAAAATATTTTAAAAGTTGCCCAACGAGGAGAAAAAAGGCCGACATCTTTGATTTCGTTGTTTTGACGAGCTCCTGATTTCACCACGATGCCATTTCATATGTGATTATGCTTCATTGATCCCCATGGGATCATTTTGATTACAATGACAAACAAATTGACATACGTTAAAAATACATGATTCAACACACATTTGCGAACAAAGAATACCAAATACACAATAATATTACACCGATGCACTGCGGTTTCACAAATTTTAATATTATGCTTTAACTGCTCAACACAATGCTGACTTCTGATTTTTTTTTAGCTTGGGTTATTGCATCTTGTTCCATCCTGTGTAAATCATATGGTTCCTTTTAAGCACAAGGGGACTATCCTGAAAAATGCTGTTTTGAGAAAATCGAAGGTAAAGTTTTGGCCCCTTGTTCAGTTTCTTTAAAAGACAAGGAGAGTTTTCTCTATAACCAAACAAATATACACAACAATGAAACCAAACTTCTCTTATAGGTAAGGCAATGTCCACTTTTGTTGAAGGTCAAGATTTCTGGAAACCCCCGAAACCTGGGTTAGTCCGCTTGTCCTTAAAAGCGACCACATAAGCTCCGTGTCACTGACACTTGTTTGACATTGTTTTTGAGTCTGAACTCATGACTCACAGGGCCAGAGTCACTGTTGGTGGTGTAGGCCAGGAGTTATGGTTATTGTTGGTGGTGTAGACCAGGAGTTATGGTTATTGTTGGTGGTGTAGGCCAGGAGTTATGGTTATTGTTGGTGGTGTAGACCAGGAGTTATGGTTATTGTTGGTGGTGTAGACCAGGAGTTATGGTTATTGTTGGTGGTGTAGACCAGGAGTTATGGTTATCGTTGGTGGTGTAGACCAGGAGTTGTGGTTATCGTTGGTGGTGTAGACCAGGGGTTGTGGTTATCGTTGGTGGTGTAGACCAGGAGTTGTGGTTATCGTTGGTGGTGTAGACCAGGAGTTGTGGTTATCGTTGGTGGTGTAGACCAGGAGTTGTGGTTATCGTTGGTGGTGTAGACCAGGGGTTGTGGTTATCGTTGGTGGTGTAGACCAGGAGTTATGGTTATTGTTGGTGGTGCAGGGTGTAATAAGGTGATGGTATGGTACGCAGATGGGGATGTTTAAGTATTAGTTTGATGGTACTTGCAACATAATTAGGTTATGTAAATGTGAACGGTTAGAGGTGTAACTAGTTAACAACACACAAAGAACAGAAGGAGGCGAGGTAAGGACGATAGACAGATGGTATATTGGAATGATAATATTATGGTATGGATGCAGATCACTTCTCAATTGGTCGCTTTCAAGGACAAGCGGGCTAACCCAGATTTCGGGGGTTTCCAGAAATCTTGACCTACACCAAAAGTGGGCATTGCACTACCTAAAGAAGAAGTTTGGTTTAATTGGTGTGTATATGTGTTTGGTTATAGTGATAACTCTCCTTAAAGACTGAGAACGGTCTAAAAACTTTACTTTCGATTTTCTCAAAACAGCATTTTTCGGGATAGCTCCCTTGTGTTTAAAAGAGACCAATTACGAGATACGAAAAGTTTAGGTTTATTTAGTTGGAGAAATCTGTCCATCTCGCTTCTTTACACACACACACACAGACAAAGACACACACACACACACACATATACACATACTCATACACACACACGCACACGCGCACACACACACAGCCCCTGTTCGTTTACTAAACATTATCCTAACCTCTTTCCCCCACCCCAAAGTCATTCTAATCTTGCACACCTTTTAGTGGGTGGTTGGCGGGTGCTCAGGTGTGGTTTGCTTCTTCTTTCCTATCAAACATCTATCGCCCTTTTCTCCCATTCTTCTTTTTTATGTTTGTTACTCTCTTGTAACACCTTTGATCTTCTAGCGCTCATATGACCGTATGCAGTTGCGAGCGCCGTAAAACCTCTACTACACAAAAAAGCTTACCTTATAGACGACACGTAGATCGGCGACACAACCAAAATTGCGGCATGGAAGCCCAGAGTCAGAATACACAAAAGTCCAATGGTCAATTTGGAGGCCTTGGACTTCCGCCGCGGGTGGTAGCAAATTGTTCTCTCTAGAGCCCTCTCTAGAATGTTCGGCTCGTACTGCTTCTTGTCCTCCACGTCAGTCTCTGACGTGGTGTTGAGGTCCACCTCGCTTGTCACGTCAGGGTTGACAGAGCCGAAAGTGTTCACGGACATTGGTTGGTTGTTGATGTCGTAAGCCACGCCCACAGAGGGGCTGGACATCTTTGGGCGCTCTGTCGTGTGGGACATTGTCCAGATTTTTGTCCGTTTCTTGTCCGAAGAGCTGCTGCCCTGGTCGCTGTTCAGGTCGATGGAGCCATAGGAGGAAGTGGAAGACATCGTGTTGGTGTGATCTGAGGTGGAGGTCTTCGCACAAAGGTAGAAATACCTGTGAGGTGGGGGTGTGATGTTGGAGGTGGTGGAGGTGGGGGAGGTGGGAGGGGTGGTGGTGGCGGAGTTGAGATGTGGAATTGGGGATAGGGGTGGAAGATGGCGGAGTGAGATTGCGGAGGTGGGACGGGGAGGAGGTGTGGGAGGGGAGGGGAGGAGAAAAAAACGATATAAATTGCTTGGATTGCAACGAACAGTTTTTAAAAGGAAGAAAAAGAAAACAAATAATATTTAAAAGTTAAAGGGCGTTTTGTGTTCAAACAAAATTGAACGATGCATTAATATGTAGTCCTACTTTAAGAATAGATAAACCCTACGTATGCCAGCATGAGGTGATATACCTGTATCGCAAAAAAACCTCACACGTGTGTATTATTATACGCTCTAATGGATGCGCGTTATATTTCCTCGAATAATATGTATAACTTCTGTCTCCCCCCGCCCTTTTTTCACCTTTCTTTTTTTCCACAAGGCTATGCTCACATCCTTCAAAAGGACTTGTGTCATTCGAGTAATGTGTTGTAATGCTCATAATATGAGCATATTGTGAGGCGTGCTGACAACATGAGTTACTTCTCGCAATCCACAAATGGAGCTATTGGCCAAAAATCGACACAATTGTTAAATTTGTAGATCTGGATCGATAACAACAACAACGTTAAATTTGTAGATACTTTTCTATCGATGCCATATTCTTTTGAAGTATGATAAGCCTTTTATTATTTCATACTTATAAAGTGTAAAAACTTCACCTATAAGCGTAACGAATCTATTTCATTAGGTCTCGAATCCGAGAAGTAACTCATTTTGTCAGCACGCTTTACATATTAATATAAAGTGAAACGTGCCCAAACCACAGCCACCCGTCCAAACGAAACGAAAAATCGTTTTTCCCTCTTGCAATTTTTCAGTATTATAATATAATGGTACTGTTCTTAGTTTTAGTTTTAGTAGAGGTTTTACGGCACTCGGAACTGCATAAGGCCATATGAGCGCCAGAAGATTAGAGGTGTTACAAGAGAGGAACAAACATAAAAAAAAGAAGACGGGGAGATAAGGACGATAGATGTTTGATAGAAAAGAAAAAGCAAACCACAACAGAGCACCCGCCAACCACCCACTGGCACTGTTTGAGAGGGCCACTTGTATAAAATGACTACCCATTTCCTCAACAATAGATGGTCGCCCTTTTACAGTTTCGACTGAAGTTTGACTAAATCTGCAGGGGTATTTTTTTCCTTTTGCTTGTTGTTTCGGTTTTTTAAACATGTATCTCGTTCTGTGCCAGATAACGTTGTGCCATTGCCTATCCTTATAACACGTCATGGTGACCGTGAGTGAGTGGAATACAGTACTGGGTGCCCACTACGGATGGGATCGGCCGATTGGGCCGATCGCCCAACTCGGTCGCCTCAAAAACAAACGTATTTGTCTTCAGTTTCAGGCGACCGAGTCGGGCGATCGGCCCGATCCAGCCTCAGTGGGCACCCCGTATAAAATGTTCAGAAAAGGGTTGAGTCAAATGTGAACATAAACAAGCGACTAAATTCAAAGTGCCGCGTAATGGTAAGATATTGGAACGACCATACTGTCACGGTTCAAATTTATAGAACAACACTTAGTAGAAAATATCTAAGACGCTTTCCGGTAAAGTTGATTATTCAAACAGTTTCAATTTATTTAATTAATTAATTAATTTTAAAAAAAAATTTTTTTTGGGGGGGAGGGGGTAATAGTAGACGTTGACCGAAATTGTTTATTTAATGTGTTTTACATGAAGCAAATTTTATCACATTATCTTTTAACTCTTCTATTATGCAGCCAAAACCTCAAAGCTTTGTTATCAGGCCCCACTGAGACATTAATGTGCGCCATTTCGTCGGCCAGCAGTTAAGATTTCATCATCATCATCATCCAGTGCCAGGTATGCGACAGACATCGGCGATCATGGTTCTCCATTCATTCCTTTGCTCGGAGGCTCTTAAAAAAAAGCTACGTTTCCTTAATCTTTCCCCGTCACCCATTTGTTTCGGGTTCCCAAGTAGGTTGCTCTTGGCCTACCTCTGCCTCGCTTGCCTTTAATCTTGCCTTCAAGATATACTAAACCCAAAAATTTTGATCTTTTAAAAAAATATGCAGTTTCTTAATCTGTAGTATTGATTGCAAGTGCCCTAAAACAATTCGTTGGAATTCCAATTTCTAAATGTTGAAAACAATCTAGAAAAGATACCTAATTTTGGAAACAATTAGTTGAATAATTAAACGGTTTCATTTTTCTTTTCTGGACGATTTCGCATTCCAGGCTTGGTATATTTAAACAGCTCGCTGACGATTTGTGACCCAAGTGTGACCCCAGTGAGGCCGGGATGTGTGTCGTAAGTTTCAAACGGGATGGACAGGGGTGGGGG